ATTTATGGATTTAGGTTTTTTTTAAAGGTTTTGAAACGTGGAGGAATAAGTGAAGCTTAGATTTGAAGAAAAGATTTAAGTGGAAATTAATTAAAGGAGTAATGTTGAGAGAGAATGATTAAGGAAGACAGGGGATTTTATTTTACTTTCATAGATTAGAGGGCAAAAAGGACATATATAATAAGGGTGAATTGCAAAAAAAAAAAAATAGCAAAATTAATATATGTGGCAACATATTAACCCTTTAATTTAGATTAAATGATTAGAAATTATATTATAATTTTTTTTATGGCTATTGCATGTAATTTTCCTATATGACAATTGGTGGTGGGAGTGCATGCAATCACTACTTTTTTTTTAAACAAATCAAAGCAAGATTAGTAGTGAGAATGGGTTGTTATGATTTGGTATGATTAAAATGTTTATTGGCTGTTTTTTTTCCCTTGTTAAAATGATAAATTATTGGTAGTACTACGAATAATAACATAGTTATATGTGATTTGCAAAAAAATTGCTGATTACACAATTCTATGGATCGGGTTTTGTGTTATATTTTATTCCGATGATCAAAATTATATAAGACTTTTCATACCATCAAAAAAAATCATAAGCCTTTCACTGTTTCAAAATTTTAAATTATTCGTCAAGCTCTCATGAGCCATCCAACAATCATGCTCTTAGGCTTTACAAATCGTGGTTTACTGATGGGCTACTTAAAATGGTTATTATTAGCTTTGTAGATTAGAAAATAAACAAAAATGTTGCAGCAAAATGTACACCATTTTATCATCTCTTTCCCCCCTCTTGTTCTTCTGCTTAAAGTTACTTTTAGGATTTGAAATTTAAGTTTGAATAATAATGATTTTTAAAAAACTAAATATATATAAAAACTCTCTAAAATTGATTATTTTCGATTTGGTCGGGTTTATAAATAAGAAAGAACACACTTCAATTTTAGTCATCCAAGTTTCACTCCTTATATTTAGCCGATCTTATTCACATACTCTCTTTGTTCTAAATTCTAATGAAACTATTCGACTCACTATTACTCTTCTTTTTCTCTTCTCTCCTCTTAGGTAATTCAAAATTATCTTTAGTTCTCGTTACAACTGATTCTTTGAAACACATATGACTAGTTTTGTTAATAAAATTATAATTTTTTTTGTATAACACTCTTTTTTTTTTGCAGGAGAAATCAATGGAGCTGAGATTTCAAATCAGAATCATGACTTGAACGGTACAAAGAGGTTGTTTGTGTTTGGAGATTCTTACGCCGATACTGGAAACAAAAAGAAGAATAAGTCTCAGCCTGGGGCATGGAGTTACCCTTACGGTATAACTTTCCTCAGTCATCCCTTTGGCCGTTTCTCCCACGGCCACATCTCCATCGATTTTTTAGGTATCTCTCTATCTATTAAGCTTTTTGCCTTCTAGGGCCTAACGCTAAAACGTTATCCTCATTAACTTCATATGAAAAAGGATTTATGACACTTGAAGACTCTAGTTTTAGTGAGGGATTCCACTTCAACGTCATAGGATAACATTATGAGACGAAAATACATACATCCTCCGTTTCAATTAGATATCGTTTTGGAGGTTTCACACAAGGTAAGATATATATTATAGCCCTATTATACACATTATATAATTCTGATTACTTAATTAGTATTCTTTTTTTTTGTTTTTTTTGGATAAACCGTGGGAATTCTGAACATTTGGCTCATAATCTCCTCGGTATCCGGAGACAGTATTTGGATATTCCGATTTAAAGAATAACTCTCCGTCCCAAAGGGAGTTTGAATCCGAGGCACAAGAGAACCAACCCCTTGTGTTACCACTAGGCCACCGCCTATTTGGTTTAATTAGTATTCTTCCGTCCATATTTATAATAAGTTAGATATATATGTTGGATTATCAACTAAACACAATTTCAATTTTTTTTTTAAAAACTCA